CCGTCACGTAAGCTACATGTACTCTCCCCCTAACAAACGCTGTCATGTAACTGACATGCAATCTACCCTATATTACGCTCGGGCTGTGGGCACCGTGAGATTTGGCCTTCAATTACAACAAACGTGTTACCAGACATTATCTAACATTTTTAGAGGTTGATTCAATATCAGCAACAAGTTGAACATGATCGTTTAGGTTAGGAGTGTTGGTGTGACGCACTTGAATATTAAACCAGACTGCAGTTACGTGCCATTATTCGATACCTTGCTCTCACTCTTAAAAAAATGATAAATAAACTGACGATATTTTTCTTATTTGATGTCAGTAAGAAGGAAAGCGGAAATGCTATTTGCCTTGACCTGTATTTTGTAGTGCAATCAAGACCGTTTAAGGGTAATCATTTCCAAGCGTGCCAACCCCCCGGGCATCAAAGGTTTTTCCGAGGTGGGGATTTTGTCATTTATGAATTTTCAACGCCTTGACCGGCAAGGACGGCAAGTGATTTTGAAAGCACTCTGTCGTGGAGAAAAGGCTATGAAAAGCTTTGGCAAGCTCCGCACAATTTAAGGAGTAATTATCTCTGTGTGCATACCATGCATGGTTTATTGCCATAAAAATGTGACACTTACGAAACGAGTTCATTTCTTCTTAATTTAGAGTCCTCCGAAAACTCGGGAAAACTTTTCTGTGTAAGTACTTTGTTGTTGTTTCAGTTTCACTACAGTGACGTTAACACTGCTTCTTTCCTGACTTACTCTTTGTGTGATGTTATTTTTAGGTAAATTAAGGTAGTCTTTGTTTATGCACGGTTATATCAAGCATGTGATCAAGCATGAAATATTTTAAAAACTTTTAAACCTTAATTACATTTACTGGGTTCCGCTGATTACAGTATTAAAATTGTTCACTTAAGAATATACGAAAAAAACAAAACAAAAACAAAACAAAAAAAATGCTGTTTTCCATGAATCCCGTACCTTACTTGATATTATAATAACTGTGTAAAAGTGACTGATAATTACTTAGGGATTCTGCTGGCCTTAAAGTTTCAGGACGACTATTCCACAGAACAGCACCACTGTAGCGAAAACTATTACGGAGAACCTCGAAAAGTGTATGGAAGCAATAAATTTCGAGCTTAGGTACTCATGCAGGAGCAAGACCATAAGGGATTTAAAAACATTATGGGCTCTAGGGTGGGTCATGTCATTGCTACACGTTTGTTCACATTTCTAAGGTTGACGGGACCTATCGGTGGGTTCTTGAATAATATAAATCTGCTGGCCTCACTGTGGATTGCAGCTTTCCAAACAAAAAAAATGACCATGCCTGGGAGGGGAGGGGGGGGGCACGCATGGAATTACAGAGCCTTTTCAGGAAGACAAAGCAACTAATAAAAATTCCTTTTTTTAATCAAATATTGCTGTTTCAATTACATCATTGTAAGATCCATACCGCCTATTGAAACTAAGTGATACTACGTGATATGGTCTTTAATCTCTTTCTCTACAATTCTCTGCTCTTAGAGGAGATTTCATGTATGATAAAATGACCTCGATCCAAAAAGGAAGTCACAGGAAGTCAGGAAGGAAGTGATCGTTGTTAACTTAAATATTTTCTCCAAGTTGTATAAAGTCAAAGTTAAAATAACTCACACCCATTACTGTTAACATAATTGATAATGTTTTTAAATGAATTTAAAATGAATGGAAATGAATGGACGGTGAGTTTTAACCACTGCTGACGTCTTCCATTGCATGACGTGCGTGTTACGACATAACTTATTGTTCGAGGGATCTTCTGTCAAGTGTTTTGTAACTCATGCACATATTAAAAACGTGCAATCACGTTTTCTCATTCACCATCGGTTGGCGGCGATATAACATCATCAAAACACCTAAGTTTCGTAAAGACAAGGAATGTACCTTCATTCACTTAATGTAAGAGATAATGCACTCTACACAACTAGTATTTTAGGCAATATGAATGGTAAACCAGAAACAACAACGAATGACCCGTATCGACACGACGACAACCTCCAGGAGTCACGGTTTTTTTTGGTGCTTGTTAACTTTATCCGAGCCGCTGAACTTATGGAACACACAGTTTTAATTCCTAGTGTCTTAATGGATTTAACGGTGAACTCCTTAATTCCTTGTCTAAATTTGAATGAAATTTATTTAAGTCAAGAAACGGATTTGAGGACATTTTGCCTCGTGGTAAAATCAATTAAGATTCAGCTGACAGAAGGTTGTAGTTTTTTCGAGGTCACTGAGGAGACTGACGAAGAAAACCGGATCGAAATACAAGTACAGTCGAAACTGAAAGAACTGTGCAAGCAACTACGGCCCCTAATAGGTCAAGCTAAATATCTTGGCTATGCTGCTGAAGAACTGGCCTTGTCTATGAAACCGGTCTCTTTTCAAGAATTTACTGAACAGGAGCATCAACATGCATGTCTTTATGATGACCACACAACCTGTAATTTACGTGCGACTTTGGAAACGTTTCTGCATGAAGCGGACCAGATGATAGAAGAAATTCTCTTTCCCAACCTTTTGAAGTCTTTCAGTGCTTCTGATTACGGCTGTAGCATGAATAAAGCGGAACAGACCTTATATGACTTGTATGTTAGCTTGCTTCAAGTAAGAAGCGTATTGCTTGATTCCCAAAATATTCATTACGAGAATCTTGAAAATTCCACTCTCTATCAAACAATTTTGAAGTTGAAAAACGTTTTATGCAGTTATACTAGTATTGTAGATAAAATTGTGCTGAAATATCTTCAAGAGGTTCATGAAGATTATTAGTAAAGTTGTAAAGTTAATTAAACTGCATGTACATTTTATTTAAAATGCAAAATTTTACAACCCTGAAAATCGTATTATATATTTACATATTTAGTTGTGAACAAAAAACATTTTCAAAATTTGCAGTTAAGACCTTGAGTGTAAAATAAATGTGTATAAATTTTTATAAATTAAGGATATTCTAATAAATGTGATATCTGGTAAACTTCAGTTGTGTGAATCAAAAGCCAAAAGATTGTTTTACATGTGTAAACTATTTTAAAATCATCTTTTTGCCAGAAATTTAATTTGATTGCGAAATATCGGTTGTCCATGATCGGTTGCTACATAACA